TACCAATATATTCTCATCCCCTTGAATGTAGAATTCCATATTTTATCGCTATCATTAAATTGTGTAGCATAGAGCTTGACACACAGTACTTGTTCACTAAGTGTTAAGAACTAATGGAAGAATGAAAGAGAATGTGCCCCACCTCACCATCCAAGATTTCCTGCTCTTCACACAACAACAAATCCTTGGCATATTTTTTATATTTAAATGCCCATGGCTGCCCTCTGATATTGCCAATGCATTTGCCCTTGCCTATAGTCCATCTGTCAACTTCATCTATAAAAACTGAACTTTTTTATGACTCTGTTCTCATCCCTCTACTACCATAGTATTTCTCAACTATAGCCACTCACATTGTTATTGCTTTTCTCTCACCTTACATGGTACCACATAGCTTATTGCTCCATAAAATGTTTTGAATCACTTTCATTCCATTATCTCAAATATTGTTTTGTATCTTCTTGAGTAGAACTATCCAGAAATTTCTGTGATAATAAAATATGTTATAATCAACTCTATCCAGTATAATAATCACCAGCCATATGTGACTACTGAGTACTTGATATATGGCCAATATGACTGTGGATCTGAAATTTCAATTTTTAATTAAAAATTCAGTTAAAATGTTAATTAAAAGTTAATTAACATTTAAACTTAAATAGCTATATATTTCTAGTGGCTACCATATTGGATAGCATAGTTCTAGAACATGTAGCAACTATTTGGCATACATACCAAATGACTAAAAAAGACTTAATAGATTATGTTCAAGAATTTGATTGGAAAATATTGTTGCTCTGAGAGAGTGCTTATAAAATACTTGGGAAGGTTAAAAATTCAAGATGGAAATAAAAAGAATTTAAATTCATTGGAGAACTCATGAATGAAACTCTTGATTAAGAGACAGAAAGGAATTTAGACAAAAGTGAATTCACTATAAAGAACTGTTGCTGCAAAAATCCAAACTAATACTGATGTGAAAAAAAAAAGAGAGAAGTAATTATTAAATATACTAGCTTTATTCTCTCTTTTTTAAACTTAGAATATGAATTAAGAAGATAGAAGATTAGACTGAACAAATATAATAGGTTTAGTTAACTACATTCTATTAGAATTTCAATGAAAATGTTTTATTTATTATTAGCTCTTCTGACAACACAATGCTATAGTTTCATTTCACTGTATTGGTTATCAATCTGTTATAATTGAATTTTATTGTATTGACTATAGCTTTAAATAGATGGCCCACAGGTATTTGGTTAAGATGCTTTTACAAGTAGTATTATATTCGTCTGTTTCTTGGTCCTTTAGGAATTACTTTGGTATGCATTCTGAATTCTCATTATGAGCTGATTTTAATAACTTCTTTGTCTCTACTATAAAATAAAAAGTAACTATAGAGGTACAATTTCCTTTATTCATTTAATTAATATTTATTGAATGCTGTTTATGGGACAAATGTGCTAGTCTTTGGGAATGATCTGGCAAATGAACCAAATGTATTTTTGCCCCCATGGAATTTAAATCCAGCAGGTGAAAAGCCTGGTTAGTGAATAGAAAATAATAGCCATAAGAAATATTAGGTGATAATGACGTGCTAGACAGTATGGTTTTAACTATGCCCTGACTCCAAATCAAAAAGTCCTTTAAAAGACCAGTCCTCTCATTTTCAGATTTAGAGGATAGATCGGAAGACATCCTGGGTAAGAGTTAGCTTTGGTTGACCTTTGAAGGGTTACTGGAGTTGGGGAGATGTTGGGTAGGTAACATAAATGCCAGTGGCATTCAAAGTCAGAGGAAAAAACACAAATACTGTCTCTACAATGGAAATGAGCATAGGGAAATTGAGGAGATAAATCTGGCTCGAGTGGAAAATAATGATAAAACTACAGAACTACCTTCTCAACATAATGTAATATTAACAAATAGAAACCATTTATGGAGAGAATACCCTTTGATGCAATGCTTGGATGCCCAGTGAAGGTGGTCCTCAGATTCCTAATGTAATAAAAACCTGGGGCACAGGTGAGACCAGGGGGAACGGTCTATGGATTTAGGAACATTAATCTTTTCTACTGTGTTCCATCTCAACTTGAACCTCTCATTTTCATTCAATCCTAGTGACTCCATTACAGAAGAAACCCTGAAAAAAGCTAAGGAGATTGGGTTCTCAGACAAGAAGATTTCAAAATGCCTTGGGTTGACTGAGGCTCAGATAAGGGAGCTAAGGTTAAAGAAAAACATCCACCCTTGGGTTAAACAGGTAAATGAGTTTCCCTTTCTTCCCACATGTCCTCTGGTGAAATGTAGATACCAACTTACAGAATCATTGTCAATAAAAAAGGAAGGTGGAATTAGAAAGTGACTCTGCTTGTCTAATTGATGCCATGATGCTACCGAATTGATTTGCTTAAAAGGGAAGGGATGAAGGTGCAATTAGTCCTAAAGTTAAGAGTAAGTGTATAATTTATTTGGTCTACATAAAAAAAATCAAAATGACCTCTTCTCTATTTTGTGACCCATGTGCAAATATATCTAGTAGTGTAATAGAAGCACTTGAAATATCCCAGCATGGTGGCTGACCCTCCTGAAAAGAATAGTTATCTATTTAGCACTAACCCTTTACAGGGTAATATTTTCTTTTAAGTGCACCATCATTATAGTTCATTTAGTATTCATTGTGATAGGGTTGGGTATAATAAGCTCATCACCTATTCATGACAATCACACAAGAATGTTCATAGGTGTCATAGGTATAGTACTGTGAATTTCTTTTTGGGCAGGGCCCTTAGTAGAAGGGATGCTTTGACTTAAAGTACTACAGGCTGGATTTTGTCCTTTAAAATCATTGACTTTTTTCTATGTGCTCACAGGGCACATGTATACTCTTAAGTCTTAGTACTCATGCTGAATATTTTCTATTCAGCAATTATTATCTTTCTTCCTTCTCAACTGCCTTATGCTGTCTTGCCCTATTGGCCACAAAATCTTGCTCACCAAGCTGAGCTCCTGGCCCTTGAGAGCTGAATTGATTTACTTGCTCCTGTGCTTTGTGGTATTTGCATCATTCCATAGCTCACTGCCATTGGTAACTTAAATCCTAGACATTAATTTGCAAACCAAAGACATTCTTACATATGGGTCATTTTGCTTTGATTTTAAAGTTTTATACATGCCTGCCTTAGAATTGAATAAATCTTCTTCATAACCAGTTGTCTATATTTGACCATTTTTTCATGAGCGGTACAACTGTAATGATTAGTGATATTCTGGAGTTTGAATTGTCATACACTGCTGAAGTGATAACTAGATGTATTATCCTTTTAATTTCTTTCTCTCATTTTCAGACTTAGAAAGCAATTGTAACATCCATACCTATTGATTGTTTTAATATTTGACAATCATAGACATTAAAGAAATAGGCCGCAACACAGCATTTCATAATCATTCTTGACAAAAATTATAGCAAAGGAAGTAAAATCCCTAATTAAGCAATTAATTAATTAATTTTCTCTTGCAGATTGATACACTGGCTGCAGAATATCCATCAGTAACAAACTACCTCTATGTTACCTACAATGGTCAGGTAGGAACTGCCAGACTGTCATATGAGAAGTCTCTTGATTTAATAAGTCATTCACATGGGTGTATATATATATTTTTGTCTCTGGTTATCTAGTGATATTGGTGATGGGGGTCAAATGTGATGATGTCTTTCTGTACTCAGTGTTTAAAGAACTGTCTTGTTGATGAATCAAGCAAATAAAAGATGATAAAAGACAGTGTTTATATGAACACACAATTGTGTTATATTTTAATCACGATGTAATAGTGAACTTTTTTTTTCTTAAAAACAAGTCAAAAAAAAAAAGTCAAGCTTGTATAACACTTTATATTCATGCGTCCCTTGAGACAAATAGAGAATGCATGTAGGCAAGAAGAATGAGACAGACACACTGGAAGACAGAAAAAAGTTTAATAGAGGGAAAAATAATGTCATATTTTCCACATGTTCCATTCTTTCTCCCTCAGGAGCATGATATCAGTTTTGATGACCATGGAATGATGGTGCTGGGTTGCGGTCCATACCACATTGGTAAAGTGAAAACTTATATTTATATAGGGCTTTTCAGTACTTTTCCCTATTACTTTTCACACATGTTAATTCCATTATTCCAAGAACTAGGTAAAACTGATGCTGTTAAAATAATTATTTTTCAAATTAGGAAACTGAAATTCAGAGAGATGAAGCCCAAACTTATAGTGGTTAAAGTGGCAAGGGTGGGATTCAAATGTGGATTTTTTTTTTTTATACAATAGCTGGGGTACAGGCCAGAGGCATGGGAGGGTGAGAGGATTCACCAGAACAGGCAGATAGACTGAAAGCACTGCTGAGGGGAGCTGCAGGTGCGACAGGAGAGGTCTGCTACGCCATGTGGGAATCTCTCTGGCTGGCCAGGAATCAAACCCGCACTGCAGAGGCTGCGGACAGCTTCACAGCGCTACGCTCAACCTGCTGCGCCACCAGGGAGGCCCTCAAATGTGGATCTTAACTACAAATTCTAGCTCCTTTAATATCATCATGTTACCTCTTTGTCGATTTCATCCTCATGAACTAAATTGAGCCTCTCACTGGTGTTGGCAAATTCTTTATGCTTTGACTTTTTTCTTTTAGCATAGTTTTTCACTAAGGCTTATTTTTGCTCAAGAACTTTATAAATTAAGCAGAAATTACATTTGCAGATACAATCTTGACCTAATTTATGACTTCTGTTGACATCAGATTTAAAGAGCTTTTTTTAATTGGTTCATAGGAAGAGTATTATATCATCTAATTTAAATATTCTTTCCAGAAATTATTACATTCCCCCTAGTCCCTTAAAATTAGGCTTTTGATGATGGTTCAAGATCTATTACAGTAACAAAGTACTTAAACGGACAGTGGTTATTTTTCAAATGATATCTTTAAAATTTAGATTTTGCAAGGCATTCTACTATGGAAATGATGAAATATATGATTTAAATATATATAGCCTTACTCTGTTACATTAAGCATATTGACTTCATTTGTATTTTTTACAATTATCTAAGTGCTTTGGCCAAACTTTGGCCAAATCTTGAAGTAGGCTGAAAGTATTTAACCTATTACCACTTACTATCGTTTAGCTAAATGTCCTAACACCTTCACTAGGACCTATACTTCCCTTTAGATCTTTGTTCCTTTTCAAATTTCGCCTAATTTATATAACAATTCTGCATTGTTTTTGGGCTCACAGAAGACTAGCCAAGCTAATAATCAAATATATACTTAATTGATAATGAGTTACCCTATTAGGGTATATGGATAACTAGTTATTCTAACAAGAATTTTTAGGAGACAAAGTCTTAATGCAAGGATTAGTTTAAATCCCGGAACTTTCAGTTTTATGCTTTTCCAGTAGAGGGGATATTTTGAGACACTTAGATCATTCTTATCATCAAATTAATTTCCTAGAAGGTCACTCACTCAGCATGGGGTGACCACTCCAAACTTAAAAGGATAAACTTGGAAAGGACAAGACTCTCTAGTCAATCATATGTCTGAGCTACAAGGTATCTCAGGGTTTAGAGAGCAGGGTAAGAGGAAGGACTCGAGCATTATGATAACCAACTTTATTTTTGTGTACTGTGGTCAAATATGTTAATTTTGAGGTTTATTTTTCAGTAAATGAGATTTTTTAAATCATTATATTTATTCCCTACTAATTGAGGTTTTAAATGATTCAAATATGGAGATTACTTACTATAAAACAGATGTAACATAAGCCAATGTGTCATTGTTTAATTAGTTCCTGTTTTTCTTACTAATAATGTAATGTGCACAATGGATCAGAAACATATTTTGGAGTCTTAAAAATTGAATTGAAAAGGCGTTAGCTTCCTTAGCCTGGACTGAGTGGCATTATATTTATGCTTTTCTTTGTGTTGTAACTTCATGCCTCCCTTACCCTTTCCTCAATCTCGTTGTCTCTGCAGGCAGCAGTGTGGAGTTTGATTGGTGTGCTGTCTCCAGTATCCGCACACTGACTCAACTTGGCAAGAAGACAGTGGTGGTGAATTGCAACCCTGAGACCGTGAGCACAGACTTTGATGAGTGTGACAAACTGTACTTTGAAGAGTTGTCTTTGGAGAGAATCCTAGACATCTACCATCAGGAGGTAAAGGAAGAAAAAAAATGAAAAGGAAAGAAATAAGTGGAAAAATAATAGCAGTGCACACTTTATAGCATTCTTGTATGTAGATTTATACTTAAGTCCCCTTAGGAGAAATAGTTACCAGTGTCTGCCATTGTCTAATTTTGTAGGAAACTGAAAAAAATTATCCCAGCCTTGTATTCTTGAGACCCTGGCACATAGTGACTATTTTTGTATAAAATTCACTTTTTTCTTTTGAAGCATTCCAGCTAATTGAAAATTCTTCTCAGTAACAGGTGCCAAATGCATATTAACTAGTACAAGACAAACCCAGTAAATATTTCGCAAAATCATTTAACTGGTTTCTAAATCAAATAGGCAGTTTTTCTCTGGTTCTTGTGTTGTTGTGCTTTAATGATGGACACTTTCCAGGGGAGGGAAGTCAGTTGTTCACAAAGGATCAGTTCATTCTTTGTGCTGTGAGACGAAGCCATTAGTCCTGAATTTAAGATCGATGAGTTCATTCTGCATGATTCTGATTCCTCTATTGCCTTCTCCTACAGTTGCTCTTCCACCTCTATTCCAATATTATTGACTGTGGATTCATTTGCTCATAGGTTACTGCAAGTCTGTAGAACACGTTAAATTACCTTACAATGAGAAGAGTCACTACCGGAAAATTTTGGAAAGATATCTATTAGTTGTGACTTTTGATGTCATTCCAGTTAATTCCTAACACAGAGATTTGTCCCTATGTCTAAAATATGGTAACTTAGAGGGAAAAAAAATGCTGAATTGGAGTCACTTCATTTAAATTCTAGTTTTAACTCAAAACTCATTTACTCTTACAGTTACTTAAATTCTTTGTGCTTCAGTTTTTATATTTTGGTTAGTGAATCATATGAATGTAAAAAAGTGTTAAATTCAAGTGCTATGAAGATAAAGTGAGATTTGTGGTTGAAATCTCATTGTAAAGTGCTAGAGCAGTGGATGAAAAGAAAAATAGACAAATTTAGCATAGATATATCACCATACTTGTTTTTTTAAGTCTAGCCTGCTTATCTTTTGATATAATAAAATAAAACCATTAAGTAGAATATACACAATTTTTAGTTCTCCCTCTGACATGTCTTTTCTAATGATTCCTTAATATTCATTTCAGACATATAGGTGGGGCTCCAAACAAGAGCATACTACAAATATTTCTGAGCACCTTGTAAATACAAAGGGTTAGTAGGAAAGAGAGATATAAAACCAGGTCCTACCCTCAAGGCATTAATGATAAGGTGGGCCCCATGACAAAAATAAGTGAAAAATTATGTAATTATTTAAAAATGTTAACATTTACAGGTAATAGCTGTAAGCATTTTATATATAATTAATCATTTCCCCATGGAATGATTAAAGAAAAGATAAACCATCTCTGACTGCCTTTCTTTGAAGTTACACGTGGATATTAATGAGATCCTTTTACTCTAACTGAATTCAGGATGATAGAAATAAAGTTGGCCCTTTGAAGTTAATTGGCATTTGAAGTATGTATGGTACTACTGTATATTTTAAGGGCATTTTAATTGTTTTGTTGAAGAACATAAGAACAATAATCTGTTGATGTATTTTTTAGAGTATGCCATAGGAAATGGCATATATCACATATATGTATGGTGTGTATGTTTCCTTTTAAGAGGTTCTGTGTACCCTTACAACAGGCTTCGCAGGCTCTGTTGTCTCCCATAATAGGTGCATCACAACCTTCAGAAGACTGCTCTGATCTGACCTTGGGTAGCCCTAGTAATGCTGAAGGCACTGAGGTGTTCAGTAGTAAACTTGCAGAAAATTGGAAGCACATCTCAACTTATTCTAAAGCACACCTCTGAGTCCCTTGGAAGGACAACAGGGTTTTCCAAGGATACAAAACTACAGGGGGTGAAAGAAAACATGATGAGTCTCCTGGTCTAGACCTCTCCGCCTAGTTCAGGAGTAAGGCTATTACCAGAGCATCACAGAAGCACCTCTAAAGATAACATTAAGAGTGAGTCAAAAAAGCAACATGCCCTGTGAGAGATGCAAGCTTTTTGGAGGGAGGTCTTTATCACAGGTTGAGTGAGAGGTGATGCTAGGAGTGCTGAGATCTCACACTTGTTCTTAATTATTTCATACAAAAGGTCATAGTGACATGTTCCTTTGGCTGCAGATAATTTTTGACTTTATAAAGCATGATCCATTAAACTTAGGTAATTTATTTCTTGTTATTGTTTTCATGGGTTCTTTTTTCTGAGAAGAGATCTGCATTTTTATTTTTTTTTTGTTTGGTGTGTGAGTGTAGGAAAGGGTTAAAAGAGTTGAGAAGTGGGTGTCTGCCACCCACAAAGCTTTGATAGGTGATATTTTGCTTAGGTCACAATTTAGCTTAAGATGTTCCTTATAAGGGAAAAGATTTTTCAAATTATTTGGTGAAGAAATTGAAAATTATTGCTTTGCTTATTGAAGTTGCAACACTGAGCTTCTTTTTCACTAGATCTGTCATGCAGTATGCAATAATTTTTGTGTGGTATACCAGTGAAAAACAAGCACACAAATCTGTTCTTAACATCGCATTTTCTCTTTTTTTGGAGACTAATTGTTTTGAAAAGTTATATAACTAAAAATATTAATATTCTTCTGTATCCAGATCTTCTTTAAGACCCATTATTCAATTCTTTTTGTATTTGTTAAGAATTGAGTCTAAAATTTCTAGGTAACATATTTAATACCTTATGATGTTAATATCAAATTTGAATCCTTTTTTTTTATGATGAATGCTTTACTGGATAACATGCCATAAAAATGTACTCTGATTAATGATTTAATTATCTTACATTATGATCCAGTATTATGTGTATGTATAGAAAATGGCACCTATGTGGCACAGATTAATGATTGAATAACTGACAAACATTAATTATTAATGGGAAAACCCACTAGGAAATTCATAACTCTAAACTCAAATTGAGGTTTATTTGTGATATTTGGTTTAATTGTAGTTAAATATCTTAAGATTCTACCTAAACTACTTAATGTGTTTTACTAAAATATTCATTTCTAAAATGTAAAGCATCATCATTCTCATTGACAAATGTATAAACAGTAGAATTTTGTAAATTGGAAATAATACCTGAAATGGCAAAAATCAAGGCCATTTTTTGTAAAGAAGATAAAGGTATTTCTATTAGCAAGACCAGTTTCCTCACATGATGTTCTATCATAATGCAGCATTAAATTTTTCCTAAAAGTGAAGGCAGACCAAATTGACTAATGTCTAAGAGTAATTATGATTTTCTCTTAAACAAACAGGAAATATATTCTTTAAATTCCTTAATTTGTGGTGTAATTACATCTTGAATATTGTTTCAGAAATATCCTCATGTGCTGCTAGCTTAGTGATAACAGGTTAAAATACAGTAGGAAACTAAGCTGGCTAAAAAAAAAACACAAACAAATCTAGATAAGTTAACGGGACTTGGAGAGTCTAAAGAAATTACTTGAAGCCTAAAGATTTTAGAAATCTGTGAAACAATGTCTGAACTCAGAATATTTTATTTCAATAAATAAATTGAAACTATTTAAGTAAAAGTGATTTGATAACTTTCTTGTGTGGGATACCAAGTCCTTTTCTGTAAGACCCTATAAAGTTCTATAGGAGACAGAGGCAATTAAAGGTAGATTTATTCTACTCTGTCTCATACTAATATCATCCTACTAGTATGTTTTCTTCTACTCGTTTCACTGCTATATGAACAAAAACTGTACTATACATCAAGGCGTTACACTGTAATATTTCTGAGGAAGTGATTTATCCTCCTAATGATTTTTATTTTTGGAGGACAATGATGAGAATTTGGCTTTGCAGTAGACCTTTTCTAGCTACTTCTTCTCAAGAATTTTTTAGAAATAGCTCTTCTCATATGTTCTAAAATTAACTACCTTTGAAACCAACCAGATAAAGAGTTTGCTTAAAATTAAAAATTTTGGTGACTTAGTTAAGTGCAACTGCCTCATAATAGTAGATTTAAGTTCAAGTACTGAGTCCGTATTTGCTAGTTAAGAAATATGGGCAAGTCATTTCACCTTCACCAAATCTCAATTTCTTTAGCTGTAAAATGGGGATGTTAATAATTGCCTCAGAGGAATACTATAGAGGTCAAAGTAGATAGTCTAGGGTGTACAGTAATATGCTTAACAAATAGTACTTTGTTTTTATTGCTCTGAAAGTTGCTAATTTCTACAACAGTAAAAATTGATTGCACAGAGCTATTTTGAAAAATGTTGATGTATTTATTAACTAAGGCCTTTTAATTCAACTTCAAGCTCCATTTATTTCAGTTGTCTCCAGTTTTTTCTCACAGATCACTATTTCTTCCTTAATTTTAGAAAGTCTTGAAATATTTCACATAAGAGACTTGGTATACATTTAACTGAGTAATTAGTTTTTGAGTTTCTAAAATATTAACATTGCTAATAAACTAAAGGTAAGAAGCAAATAAAAACTGCTAATAAACTAAAAAATAATAAGCAAATAAAAATGTATTACAAGGAAATAATTCTTATAGGTTTTACAAAAATGTGTATTGAACATAAAAATGATGATAAAAGTAGCTTAAGTGCACTTATAAATATGTAGAACTGTGGATTATTCTTTTTAATGCTGTTTACAATGCATTTAAGCATTCAATAGCAGAGTGTTTGTTTAGGCAGTACATAAATTCTCTCATCATAGCTAAATTAGCTTCATTCCTTTTAAGATATTTCAGAATGATTTCAAATAATGATAAAATAAATTTGGCACATACATCTTATTTCAATCATTCTAATATTCACTATTAAGACAAATTATACCAAGGTCAATGGTCTACTAGATTTTATAATATTTTCTAGTAGTAATAATAATATCTTACCTTTTTTTTTAATCCTGAATAAGATTCTTCCTGTTTATTATCTTACTGAATCTACATAGCAACCTTGTGAGGTAGGCAGGTATTATTATCCTCATTTTACAGATAAGACTGAACCTCGGTGGGAGCTCTGGAGTAGAAACAAAGATCGGAAGGGGTGTCTAATCCCAAATGCAATTCTTCAGTATCCCACATTGACTCACCCTCACTCCATTGAACTTGAGAAAATTTGAGATTTAATGGGCTTTTTTTTCAGTCTTGAAGTTTTAACTAATATGAAGAGATTAAGGTTAAAGATTCAGGGACTGGTTATAAGACAGATAGTAAAGAAATTGGAATTAACTTCACTTGTTGTGTACTGTAGACATGTGCCTTAGTAGCAGCTTAAAAGGGAGGTTGTCAAAACCAGAGGTAGGATTTAGACTGTGAATAGAGGTGTCTTCTTGAGGAGTCGTGAGTGCTAAGACTGGAAAATCTTGATTGCCTTGATAGTAGTGAGTTTGCAATTCATCTTTTGGGCTACAGGAAACTTTGGAGAACTCTGAGAACTGGAGTAGTGTTGCAGCAACTCTATAGAATGATTACTTGGAATGTGAAGTGCTATGGTGGAGGAGGACAGGAGAGGTGAGGGCTGGGAGAGAATTTTATCCAGTTAGAAAATTGCAACAGTAGTTAAAGTTAATTTATTATAGTTGAGGTTAATTGATGATGATATTCATTGGCTTAGTTTTCTTTCTCTAATGCCACACATGTCAATGTCACACTTCCATGTTTTGTGAAATCTTACATGGGAATTATGTAGTTGTGTGGAATCTTACACAGATTTTAGTATGTCAGTGCCTGGAAAATCAGAACTAAGTTTGTTTATCTCTTTGTGGTCTTGTGAAATAGTATCCATTAATGGGAAAAATAAAATACCACAATCATAAGAAGTATTTTCAGTTAAAAAATGGAGGCAATATTAACACAGTTGTTCATCAAGGTGAAGTTATTCCAGTGGCTGATATCATGAACATCTTTTCCAGGCATGTAGTGGCTGCATCATATCAGTTGGGGGCCAAATTCCAAACAACCTGGCAGTGCCTCTCCACAAGAATGGTGTCAAGATCATGGGCACAAGCCCTATGCAGATTGACAGGGCTGAGGATCGCTCCATCTTCTCAGCCATCTTGGATGAGATAAAGGTGGCACAGGCACCATGGAAAGCAGTTAACACTTTGGTAAGGAGAAAATGTGTCTTTTTTATATTCTCTTTTGGATATTCATAACCTGAAAGCTAACTCCTACAGATTAGTAACTATAGGGCAGATAAAATGCTGTGTGCTTAGTGAATTTACTTTTAAGTTACTTTATTTCTATGATTGCTTTTAAATGCTCGTTATAAATTGAAATGAATATTCTCATTAAGATTCAGACAATGAAAAGAAGATCAAATTAGTAGATCTAGATTTGATATTTAGAATTAGAAATTAGGGTTTTGTATATTTCGATGTCCAATTTACATTTTAATGGCCTTTTGAGAGAAAGAATAAAAAAGAGTTGGTTACCACTTGATCTAAAGATACCTTTCTGCATTTTTTGCATTTTTAAATCTATCCATACATTTTTTCTGTTGTTTCTATTAATTAGAATGACGCATTGGAATTTGCGAAGTCTGTGGGGTACCCCTGCTTGTTGAGACCTTCCTATGTCTTGAGGTAACATATTGTTTTCCAAAAACAATGATTTAAATATTGGGAGATACAGAAATTCCTGTTGGATACTAATAGCACTAGCCTTTGATTTGAACTAATTTGTAAATCCTTTATTAATCCCCATGCCAGCGCAGTCAGAGTGAAGACCTGTGCATGATTCTTCAGCTTCATGCATTTTCTTCTGGGAGCACAAATACAAAGAATCTAAAGTTCTGTATTTTAGTAATATGGTTTAGGACATCTCCTCACTAAATTGAGGAAGGACAGTTTTACATTGGAGAAGAGGACATTTAAAAAAATCCAAAAGGCAATACCTAAACAGGGAAAATTCTGGATATCTCTCCCTACCATCTACTTTCAACTACCCAGAAAGGACAATTTATTTTTGACTGTTGTCAGCACCTTCTGATGGTGCTTCCAATTTGAATTTTTAAATTTCTGAGATAACAATTTTTTAATAGATGGATTATAATGGACAGAGACATGAGGATCTTTTATATTAAACTTTGAAACTAAGTTCTATCATCAAAGGAGTTGTGAATTATCACTTATTCTCTTCAGATGTTGCCACATGTAAGGAACTACTTCACTGAACAGGGGCTAATAAGAGAAACACAATTTGCTGTGCACAATTTGAAAGTGTAAATGGAATTTGAGATGAGATCCTTTAAAATAATGAAAAATTTCAAATGAGGTGGAAAACTTTCCTTTTTACTTAAATGACTTTATGTGTAAACCACAATTTAATAATACTACTTCTTCTAGGTATTAATGTAAGTTAATTTAAACAATAAACACATATTTAAGGGAGGATTGTAGAAAGCAGCTTGTGACGACTGCAGTTCTGTTCTCATTTATACAATCTATATCTTTGTGAATTATCAACTCTATTGCCTTAGCCGTTCGTTCTTAAATAAAGAAATTGAAAGCTTGTTATGCATAAGTTTTTAATAGAGTAGAGAAGGTTAAAAAATACTATGTTTTAAAAGGAAGTGGAAAATGATATTTTTCTTATTTTATGTCATCTTACTCCTCCTTTCCCCCTCCCATCCCACCTCACTTTGAAAATGTCACAATTCACGTAGCATTCTTTTTCAAAGGCTTATAAAGAAGGCTATAATTGAGTAGGTTTCATTCAGAGACTGAACCTTATATTTGCAAATGTTCCTGAAAAATGATTCTTTTATAACCGGGTTGAGGTAGTAGAATGAATGACCTGCTTTGACTATGTACCTGTGCATTCACATCAGCCATTGGTAATGAACTCTGAAGAAACAGGGATAGAGAAACTAGGATCTGGGCTATATCTTATTATAGTTTAATAACTACATGGAACTGGTGGAGTTAAAACAGTAAGTCAGACAGAGAAAGCTTGGGGAGTGTGCCATCATTATAGCTACCATGGTTCTTTAGGGCATTCTCACACCCACTGGAGGTGACTTTTTATTTTGGTTGATTGTCCTGGTGAATAAATGGAGTAAAATCTCAATTTAGGAGAAGGAACCTTCTTACTTGGCCCAGCCCAGAACTGTCAGTAGCCTGGAACTGTTTTTGAAAATTTGTCATTACATTAGCTTGGTTACTTTGAGTGATTAAGAAACTGACCTGCTTTTCTTTTTTCCTCTCCTTTCCTAGTGGGTCTGCTATGAATGTGGTTTACTCTGAAGCTGAAATGAAAAAATTCCTGGAGGAGGCCACTAGAGTGTCTCAGGTAGTGTCCACTTTTCTCCTAGTGACTTTTACTACTTTTGTTAACTGCTACCTTATTTTATATGTTACTTTCTTTTCACATGATCTTGTAAGGACAGTTTTATTCTTCTTTTATTCTTCTCCCCACTGCTTTCCTATATATGGAGATGAGAAAGCAAAAATGCATTTGATTATATTTAAATCCTTAGGGTTAGCCAAGAAGAGTAGACCAATGCAAATTTGAACAAAACAGAGATTTCTGTTTTTAGATCCCAGGAGCAACACTGGACCAGCATCTGTGTCTGTTCACAAGTCTGATGCTGGTGAAGTTACCTCTAGGGTTGCAAAGCAAACTCATCATGACCCAGTGAAGGCTTTCCTGATTTTCTCTTCTCACACCTGAAGAGACATTGCCTCAGTTGACTCTATAACTTTAACAGTATATCTAGTACCCACCCCCTCACCTATTGATTTATTTTCATTTTGTTTCATTCCATTTGTCAGCTAATAAAAAATGTTTATAATTTTGTGGTCACCCCACTACCTACCTCCACATGACTCATTTTAGATTTATCCAGTGGGGTTATTGATATGCACACCTTGTGCAAATCCTGTAGAGGATGAAAGGAATGTTTTGTTCTTAAAAATTTTCAAAAGCTCGTTGAGAGAGAGTGAGTGAGAGAGAGAGAGAGAGATTTATAAAGAGCTTGACATTAGGCAAGTGGAATTTGGAGGGAGCTTGCTGAAGAGTGAAATTGGGGGCATTTACAGGAGGAGGAATAAACATGGATTGTCCCAGCACACATAAAACTGAGCCTCACATCTGTGTGGTAGTTGCTTCTTGAGGACATTTGGACAGTGAAAAGAGTAGATAAGAAATGAAAAGAAGAAAACAGTAAAAACAGATAAAGCCAAGTGGATTTTAAAGTTTTTGTGTGAACATGAGATAATTGAGGAAGGAACATCTCCAAGAGGCCAGTTTTCATTAATATGCATTTAGATATTCATTCATATTTAGAATCTGCTATATGGCATTGTCAGATTCCAGTATCTTCTTCATGGAACCATAGATGTAGTCTCTGCTATTAGAGACAATATCAAGTGTCAAATTATTACAAATAAGTATGATGAGAATTACAACAGAGAAAAAAGCAGGATGCTGAGGAGGTGTGTAAAAGTATTAGATCCAGTACTATTGGGAATTTTAAAATAATTTAAAATGGTTGATTCAGAGTTAATTGGATGAAAGGTTTATATTGCAAGTGTAGGAAAAAAGAACAGCATATATAAAGGCCTACAGGTAAGAGAGAACATGGAGTTTCTAGAAACTAGGACTAGGCCACCATAATGTTGATTATGGTGGAGAAGTAGATAGACATGGAGCAGGGGAGGAAGACTTTGGATTTTAGTCATATGTTCTGTGTTAAAAAACATCACTCTGCATAGTGTACAGAGAGAATTGTGGGGCAAGAATGAATTCATGGAAAGAGATTGGGCAGGTATTGCTGTAGCTCAAGGTGAATGTGACAATGCCTTGTGGCAGAGTAATGGTGGTGAAGATGAAGAGAGTGACATGCATTCTGAAATACTGAGGATAGACACTGAAAAAATTAGTGAGTAGAGGAGATGAAGGTTTTAAGAGGATCAAGGTTGTCTCCTGAGTGTTTTCCTTGGACAACTAGACAGATGATGGCACCATTCATTGAAATATGGGGCACTGGAGGAGAAGATTTAGAGGAGGAAACCATAGATTTAATTTTTTACCATTTGAATATGGGGGACCTTTTAGTAGTTCAAGTGAAGATGCTTTAAAAGCAGAAGGTGATACAGATTTGGAATTGAGCATCAAGGTTGTGGCTAGATACAGAGATGTAGATATGGATTTGGAGATAAATAGCCTATCAGTTTAATCAAGGTGTTGAGAGTAGATGCAATCACTGAGTATTGAGTGTAGAGGAAAAGGAACAGTTCAGATAGAGACAAGAGGAGTATTGGCATTTAAAGGCTGACTAGAGAGAGAAAAACCATGAAGGATCCTGAGAAAGAAACATGAAAATGTGGTTCAGAGATATTAAAGAAGGAATGTGTTCACAGAAGACCAACAATGTGTACTGCTGCTGTAAGGCAGAAATTTATTAAGAACTAATTTTTCGGGCCTCCCCAGTGGCGCAGTGGTGGAGCGCTGGGTTGCGAAGCTGCCCACAGCCTCTGCAGCGCCGGTTCGATCCCCAGCTGCTCCCTGGCCACAAGAGGAGGGTCCCACATGGCGCAAAGACCTCTCCTGCCACCCGCTGCTCCCCTCAGCAGTGTACTTTGGTCCTTCTGCCTGCTCTGCTCCCCGCTCTGGCTCTGGCGAATTCTCTCACCCTCCCGCACTTCTTTTTTTTTTTTTTTTTTTATTGTTCCTTATTTTTATTTTTATTTTTATTTTTTTAATAATAAATTTTATTGTTATATTCCCCATACAATTGCAGCCCCCCATTCTGACGCCAATCCCTCCCCTCCCGCCCCCGCCCCCCAAAAAAGTGTCTCTGGTTCATAGTTTTTTGTTGATTTTGATTTTCACTTTCTTATAGTTATTCATTTTCCTGGTCCCTTATTTAAGTTTTCTAGATTCCTGCTATGAGTGAGACCATCCGGTATTTTTCTTTTTCTTTTTGGCTTATTTCGCTGAGCATGATCCCTTCCAGCGCCATCCATGTTGCTGCAAATTGCATGTGTTTATCTTTTTTGAATGCTGAGTAATATTCCATGGTATATATGTACCACATCTTCTTGATCCAGTCATCTATTTTTGGGCATTTGGGTTGTTTCCAAAGCTTAGCTATTGTAAACAGTGCTGCTATAAACATAGGGGTGCAGGTGTTCTTTGGAATTGATGTTTCTGTGTCCTTTGGGTAAATACCTAGGAGTGGAATTGCTGGATCATATGGAAGCTCTATGTTTAGTAGGTCCAGAAATCTCCACACAGCTCTCCACAGTGGTTGGACCAGTTTGCACTCCCACCAACAGTGCAGAAGAGTTCCTTTTTCTCCACACCCTCGCCAGCATTTGTTGTTGCTAGTTTTTTAATATGTGCCATTCTCACTGGTGTAAGATGGTATCTCATGGTAGTTTTGATTTGCATTTCCCTGATGACAAGTGATGTTGAACATTTTTTCATATGCCTGTTGGCCATTTGCATTTCCTCTTCAGAGAAGTTTCTTTTTAGCTCTTCTGCCCATTTTTTGACTGGATTATTTTCTTTGTTGTTGTTGAGTCTCATCAGCTCTTTGCAGATTTTTGTGATCAGTCCTTTATCATTAGTGTTGGGTGCAAAAATGTTCTCCCAGTTGGTGGGGTTTCTCTTTGTTTTTGTTATTGTCTCTTTTGCTGTGCAGAAGCTCTTTAATTTGATGTAGTCCCAGCTGTTTATCTTTGCCTTCACTATCACTGCTTTGGGTGATGTGTCTGTAAAGATGTCTTTGATGTGCAAATCACGTAGTGTTTCGCCTATATTTCCTTCTATATATTTTATGGTTTCAGGTCTTATGTCTAGTTCTTTAATCCATTTTGAGTTGATTTTTGTGTATGGTGTGAGGTAGTGGTCAAGCTTCATTCTTTTGCATGTAGCGATCCAGTTTCCCAGCACCATTTATTGAACAAACTTTCTTTGCTCCAATGCATAGTCTTTGCTCCTTTGTCAAAGATTAGTTGACCATAAATCTGTGGGTTTATTTCTGGATTTTCTATTCGATTCCATTGGTCTGTATGTCTGTTCTTGTTCCAATACCATGCAGTTTTGATGATTATGGCTTTGTAGTATAGTTTGAAGTCTGGGAGTGTAATGCCTCCATTCCCTTCTTTTTTTTTCAGGAGAGCTTTGGCTATTCGCCTCCCGCACTTCTGACTGTACCCAGTGCTTGTATAAATATAAATAAATAAATCTTTTTTAAAAAAAAAGAACTAATTTTTCTTCAACAGAGAAAGGGCTAGTTCATAGATTGGTTCAGTTGACGGGGATGGTGGACACATTTGTCTCCTCACTCAGATCCCTTTACCTGTGGGCTACCATCTGCCAACTGCTGTGATAGCTGACAACTCCCCCTCAAAGCCTTAGGTTATGATTGACCTTTGTCTTAGGATGGGGCTTATCTGTGCTGCAATTCATGTTGCAGAATCCCTGTGGGATGAGGGTAAATCCAGTTTCCACCAAGACCGCAGAATTACTAGCTTTTACCTGATATCCCATCTTGCTTTTCTGACTCGCTGAATAAGTCACTTGAGCAGGAATCCATGTCTTAAGCTTGCCAAGTGAAGCTGACAAAGACAATTGGTAGACTTTCATCTTGGTTTTGAAGTTATACTGTTGTTATTATAATACTTTATTAGTGGCTCAAGTCATATTAATTCCAGGTAAAGGGTTCAATCTTTGGCCTAATACAATTAAAACAAAATGCTGCTCTCCTAAGATTTTTTACAATTCTTTTTTTTTATTATTTAAATTTTATTTTTATATTCCCCTTACAATTACAACCCCCATATTTTGACCCCAAGCCCTCCCCTCCCTGCCCCCCACCCCTCATAGAGTGTCTCTGGTTCGCAGTTGTTTGTCAATTTTGATATTTTCTTATAGCTATTCTTTTTCCTGGTCCCTTATTTAGGTTTTCTAGATTCCTGTTATGAATGAGACCATCCGGTATTTTTCTTTTTCTTTCTGGCTTATTTCACTGAGCATGATCCCTTCCAGCTCCATCCATGTTGCTGCAAATTGCATGTGTTTATATTTTTTGAATGCTGAGTAAAATTCCATGGTGTATATGTACCACATCTTCTTGATCCAGTTATCCATTTTTGGGCATTTGGGTTGTTTCCATAGCTTAGCTATTGTAAATTGTGCTGCTATAAACATAGGCGTGCAGGTGCCCTTTGGAATTACTATTTCTGTGTCCTTTGGGTAAATACCTAGGAGTGGAATTGCTGGATCATATGGAAGCTCTATGTTTAGTAGGTCAAGAAATCTCCACACAGCTCTCCATAGTGGTTGGACCTTTTTACAATTCTTATGTAGAACTGGTTGAAGAAATTGCTCTTGGAGAAGATGAGCATATCAGGAGAGAAAGAAACTGAACTGATAATATATATAATTACAGATAAAGTAGAAGGCTTGTCGTGATTCTGGAAATAGAGAAGGCACCACATTCTGCCCCTTTGTAAGCCCCCTCTTATATTTGAAATGTCAAAACTTGTGGTCAGTTCACTTAATACTCAAGGCCGGAGAAAGATCCTTGGCCTCAATGGAAGCAGAGAATGAACTTGTTCCCACTAAACAATTTAGTTAATGCATTTGTACAGGTAGGGTGTTTAGCATGAAGGTTTTGAAAAATATTGTCCAGGTATTTGCTTAAGGTATGTGATTTACTTGCTACTATACAAATGATTTCAGCTAAAAGTTCTGCCTTCCTGTTTTCCTTGGTGACAGGAACACCCAGTGGTGCTGACGAAATTTATTGAGGGTGCCCGGGAAGTAGAAATGGATGCTGTTGGCAAGGAGGGAAGAGTAAGTGTTGTATCCCTATATCCCCACCCTTGCCTTACTGTCAAATTGTTTTTCTTGGGAATTTTGAAACCTAACATATATTAGAGTTCATGATTTCTACAAAACAGGTATTTAATAATAATAATGGATAAGCTGCTCAGTTAAAAAAAATCAAATTTACTGACAATTCAGTTGATGTGTCATGGGTACCACATTTCCTGTGTTCCATACCATTAGAATTTCTCTTTGATTTTATTCAAAATTAATTATCATCCTGTACTCATCATTCTTTTTGAATAGATTTTCTTCCTCGCTTTCTTTTGTCTGCGGGTTTCCTTTTATGTTTAGATGGACATTATAAGAACATCCAACACTTTTCTTTCTGAAGTTCCTAATTGAATCCCTAGGTTTTTCTTCTTTCTTAATTTCTCACCCTCCACCCTTTTTTTATTGGGTTAATAAAGCAAAACTAAATAGAGTGGGGCAGATGAAGATAATAACATGAAATTGGCATACATATCACACACACCTTATAGTACTAATGCTATGAATGCCTCCGGCTTCAGGGAAAAATGAAAATGTAAAGAATCCCTCCCTTTAGTTTTGCTAGTCGTGCTAATAAGGCATCTGTGATTTATCTTGAAATATAGAAAGTTATGTTTTAGGGAATTCATGTCATTTTTTTTGCTATAAGGAAAAATAAAAAGTTGGACTTCTTTTACTTTTCAGATACTTCAAAACACTACTGAAAATGTTAAGCCTTGTTTATTTATTCTGGCCTTGCAGATTAGCTGCTCAAAGTAGGGTTGTGTTATTACATACATATGAGTAATAATGGCTTCTTGCCACAGAATCTCATAATCCTGATTTAAATATCCTCAGAAAATCATTTTTCAACTCTTTATCCCCCAAAGATGAGAATTTTCTTCATGGTTTCCCTGATGTGGTCATATGTTTTCTTTTTAACTTTTTTGGATATGTATAATGCACAAGACACTATAAGATTATCTATCCATATATCTACTATCTTCACATATAATGTCTAACTATCTACCTGTCTGTCTGTCTAGAGCATATCATAGATTCATTCTCTTGAACTAAGGATCTGCCTCCCTGGAATTCCTGTCCATGACCTCCTGGCCTTCAGAGTGGTAGAGCAGATCCTTAGTTTCCCCTCTTTTCAACGTTTCAAGTATTTGAAACTGAGATTAAAATAAGATGACTATGATCCTAACAGCATAGAAGTAAAGAATGTCAGAAGACTAGTCTCGAGATGTTACTAGCTTTTCAGATATTGTACTGGTAAAGCAATGCTGCTCTGCTAGTCAGATTTGACTCCAAGATGCTCTTGATAGAAGCTTCTCTCAGACATGGGCCATTACTTATCATTCTGGAATCCCTCTTTTTGAAATGTACCAGGTTTGTCATATAATTTTTAAACAGTCATAGTCATAAGTGGACACAGTACTTAAGGTATGCTTTTCTCAGAATTTGGTGGGACTATTGCCTCTCCATTTCTGGACACTATGAAAGTATGTGTATTTACTGTGCACTAAATATCATGCCATCTACTGTACGTGTTCTCTTTTATCCTTACAAACAGTCTATATGACAGATGCCCTGATTTTCCCATTGTATCAGAAGCCAAAGTTAAGCAGATAAAACACAATGTCCAAGGCTCAGAGCTCAAAAGTGATAACAGGACATGTGAGATTCGAATTTCACTCTGCTCATAAATCTGATAAGCAAATCTCTGTAATTTATTTGTCTTTTGCAATCGTCTGTCATTCTTCCTCACTCTCAGCTTTATCATTTCTCAAAGACACACGTATTACTTAGCATTCAGTTTCTAGTAACTGAAACTACAAACTTTGGAATCTGACAGATAAGTCTTCAAAATCCTGACTGGGCATTGTAGCAGTTGCATATACTTTAGTTATTTATCCTTATATTGCTTTAGTCTCTTGACCACCGAAGGAGGACACAAGTATTTTCTTCTTGCTCTCTGCATCTCTTAAATTTCAGATTAAAGATCTCATGGTTTTTAGATTGCAATTCTCCTTCTGGTCCATGTAAGTTATTAGATTTATCAACTAGATGATATTCACCTCTTCCATCTTTTTTCTTTTCCAGTGTCTAAAACAATCTGATAATATCTAGCACACTTTCCAAATGCTTCAGTTTCCTATTTGTTCTTAAAAGTCAATTTAAGTTAACTTAGTTTTCTTTTTTCCTAATATTTGAATCCATGCTAATCAATGGAAGAGGAAGATATGCTCAGTTGCCCTCGGCTGTCCCTAGAGACAATCTGTCCTTATACAGGGAGGCTTGGAAAGTCTACAAGTATCACTCTTTCACTCCTCTCGCCAGAGACTTAGCAAAGCAACTGGTCAATGCTGGAGCCATCTTTCAGAATCAAAGGGGTGGGCAAGACAGTAGTGTCATTGAAGTAGGTGCCTGACTACTCTTTCTAAAACCTTCTTTTGGCCAGGTGATCTCTCATGCCATCTCTGAACACGTGGAAGATGCAGGAGTCCACTCAGGAGATGCTACTCTGATGTTGCCCACACAAACCATCAGCCAAGGAGCCCTTGAAAAGGTCATCATTTTTCATTGAAAGTGGGAGGGGGAAAAAAGGGGGGGACGTGATCAAAAGAGGGGGACTTGATCAAAAAGTCCATCCCCACTTTCAGATTCCGTAAGTTCTAGGCTGAGTCCCATAATTTGCGTTTTTAATAACCCCCCATGTGAGGCTACTGCTGTTGTTCTGGGGACCATATTTGGCTAACTACTGTTAGCTGTTTCTAATGTTTAAGAGCCACATGTAGGTGAGCAACTATAAATCCATGTTTGTCAGGTAGAAGAAAGTGTGCAGCAGTCTCGTGAGAATTTCTTGAATCAGTGCTGTCACTGTCCCCGTTCATCCTCACCTTAAACCAGCCCTTTCTGATATGTCTTTTTTTGACATTTCTTTTAGAACCACTGCTTTAAAGACCCAGAATGATGACTCTGCCTCAGCACTCAATATGAACACTTAGCTGTATTAGGGACCATCTTTGTAAATGACCCTGCAGGTGTTCCTTAAGTTGTCAGGGACTTTACTCAGGCTTAGTATTGTGAGTGAGTCTTCGCAATAATCCTGCCACCAGAATCCAAGCAGGCCCATCTAACTGTATGTTAGCCAAAACCTTGGCTTTTGCCTCTTGCAATGAGTTACCCATCTGGGCATGGGGATGTACAGGTTCTGATAGGATACAGGAATTCCTATATATGACATGCAGGGCCTCCCTGTAGGGAAACATCATTTCATTCTGACCATAATATCTACCCCTGTGCAGTCCAGGGCAACAGAAATGTAACATAAATGAAGTCTCTCTGGTCTCTTTACAGTACCATGTAATTTCAGGGCCTGTACCTCACAGCAGGCAGGTCATTCGATTGATACAGAGTTTGGACTATGATTCTTGTGCTGAGCAAGAAGACTGAAAGGATTCCAGTTCACCCTCAAAGTAAAGCAGGAGTCTATCCAGAGAGTATCATTGCATGGAGATAAGGATATTTGGCAGAGAGAGACTCCTATAAAATTAATATGTACTATTGTTTTGTTAATAGGGGCCTAATAATGGTTTCTATTGGATTATTATTTTTGTTACTACTATCAATATTATGATGGAGATGTAGTTCTCTGTAAAGAGAAATTAAATAAGTCTAAATTTAGGATGCTGTATCTTTTCTACATTTTTAACTAAGATGGAATCTGTAACACTGTATCCCTGTCCTTCTGATCTAGGTGAAGGATGCAACACGAAAGATCGCAAAGGCTTTTGCCATCTCTGGTCCATTCAACGTCCAGTTCCTTGTCAGAGGAAATGAAGTCTTGGTAAGATGTGCCAAGGGGTTTAAGAGAACGCCTCTGCTGTGTTAGGTCATGTTGGTCTGTGTCCCTCTGGCAGTCTTCTCTGTGAACACAGCCATAGAGCAACCGAGACCCCTGCGGCTGTTTGTGTCGGACTATGAGAATGAATGCAGCACAGAATGCCTGACTTGGTTGAAAGCACAGGCTCTTGGTGCACTGATATGTCAGTCACAGATTTGAAAAGCACTCTGATTCACAGGAAAGAAGATCTTTGCATGCCATCTGCAGTTTAATATAGATGGATGCAGCGACCATCGAAATCTGAAGTTACATGCACTGTAGTCTTGCTTCATTCCTTTCCCAGAGAAGGAAGCTGTTGTGGATACTATTTACAAATATATATATATATATATATATATATATATATATATATATATAAAACATTAAGTCAACTAGATTACTTGTTAGTGGATTTAGCCAATATCAATTCAATACCAACTCTGCACCATTATGTGGTAGCTACAGAGATGTATAAAACTCAGCATCCACTCACATAAATCTTTAATTCAGTGAGGCCCAGGAAGAAGGTAAATAGGTAGAGAACTATAACATAGAGTGGAGAGTAATAGCTGGAGGAGGAATGTACCTAAAATGATACTGTAGTCACAGAACAAAGAGAACATATCTGCCCACATGTGTGTCTCTGTGTGTGCACATGTTTGCATGAGCATCTGTGTTTTAAGTGTCATGTGCCTGGCAGAGGTAGGTCATAAGTGATTTCAAGGAAAGATTTTGTAGTTTGAATCAAATCTTAAAGAATGGTTAGGATTTGGACAAATTTCAGACGGTAGTGGAGATATTACAAGTAGAATCTTTTTGGAAAAATAATCACATTTGAGGAGATAAAGTCTAATATTCATTCTAAAGAACTATCAGAAAGTGTTATATGATAAGATAGAGAGGTATATAGAAGCAAGAGGAGGAAAGGCCTTCAAAGACTAGGCTTTAATCAGTGGCCTGTGGAAACCCAACGAAGGCTGTTCAGTGGGAATGCAGTATTATCTGAGCTCTGTATTAAAATGAATCTATCACCAATGTAGGGGGTGGGTTGGATCTTGGGAAGAGGATGGACAAAGATCATAGCTACAAATACTGACTGAAAGGAAATCAGTTAACAAAAGTACAACACTAGGGAGAAGGGGGGAGGATGAGCAGAATAAGACCTAGTTACTAGCTTCTGGAACCTAAGTGACAGGGAGACTATTAATATTGTTGTTACTGGAACGCATCATCTTTTCTCTCCTTTGGAATTTTGTTTTCTCTACAGGTGATTGAGTGTAACCTGAGAGCTTCTCGATCCTTCCCATTTGTTTCCAAGACTCTTGGGGTAGACTTCATTGATGTGGCTACCAGGGTGATGATTGGCGAGAAGATTGATGAGAAACCTCTTCCAACATTGGAGCATCCGATTATTCCTGCTGACTATGTTGCAATTAAGGTATCATCTAAAAAATCTACTAGTCATATTTTAAATTCCAAGGAAATTAAAGAAATAATTTTTCACCAAAAATAACTCTGATACTTTAGGAACCTTCTAACTAAAGTGCATCACAGGGGATTTATGATATTTCCTTTCAAAGCAGCAATTCTGTTTCACTATAGGCAACTAGATACACTATTGGGCATTCCAAAATATCATATAGCATTGCAAAATCTTGAAACTGACTAGGTGAGTGAATTATAAACTGTATTTATGTGGCTGATGCATATAGTGTCAGCTTAGGTGTGGAACAGAAATTCTGGATGTATTTTGTTAGGCTAAGACTTAATTATGCCACTTTTGAAGTGTGCCAAAACTTCAGGGACTCATGAATTCTGTTAAAATGGTTATCGTGTGTTGTTTAGATCTTACCACCTTGGCCACCTTTACTTAGTTTCTGCTTTCTTCAATGGTACTGATGTCCTACTTGAATAGTTGAGACAGCAGTTGCTCTTAACAGTGGTGCCATGAGGGCAATGAAAATGGCAGCATCTGGGCCTCT